AGTGTGTGCTGTTCCTCCCTTCACCTAAGATAATTCTTGTCTACTTTCTAGTTAGTGAATACTCCTCTCTCTCCCTTCCCACCCTCATAACCATCAAAGAATGCTGTCTTCTGTGTTTAAACCTTTTCTTGGGTTCTTATAATAGTGGTCTTATACAATATTTGTCCTTTTGTGACTAAGTTCTCTCAGCATTATACCTTCCAGATTCCTCCATGTTATATTTCATGGATTCATCGTTGTTCTTTATCATTGCATAGTATTCCATTCAAAATTTGTTTTTCCATTCATTCATTGATAGGCAACTAGGTTGTTTCCACCTTTTTTTATCGTGAACAATGCTGCTATGAACATGGGTGTGCATGTATCTATTCATGTGACGGCTCTTAATTCTCTAGGATATATTCCAAGGAGTGGGATTGCTGGATGGTATGGTACTTCTATTTCTAGCTTTTTAAGGAAGTGCCAAATCGATTTCCAAAGTGGTGGTACCATTTTACATTCCCACCAACAGTGTATAAGTGTTCCAGTCCCCCCACAAGCTCCCCAACACTTATTATTTTGTGTTTTTGGATTAATGCTAGCCTTGTTGGGGTGAGATGGTATCTCATTGTTGTTTTGATTTGCATTTCTCTAATGGCTAATGACCATGAGCATTTCCTCATGTGTCTGTTAGCCGCCTGAATGTATTCTTGGGCGAAGTGCCTGTTCATATCCTTTGCCCATTTTTTAAACTGGGTTGTTTGCCTTTTTGTTGTTGAGGTTTTGCAGTATCCTGCAGATTTTAGAGATAAGATGCTGATTGGATTTGTTGTAGGCAAATTTTTTTTCCCAGTTTGTAGGCTGTCTTTTTACACTTTCGGTGAAGTCTTTTGATGAGAGTAATTGTTTGCTTTTTAGGAGCTCCCAGTTATGTAGTTTCTCTTCTGGTGTTTGTGCATTGTTACTTATGGTTCATATTCTCTTTATGCCATGTATTAGGGCTCCTAGCATTGTCTCTATTTTTTCTCCCATGATCTTTAGCATTTTCGATTTTATATTTAGGTCTCTGATCCATGTTGAGTTAGTTTTTGTGCACGGTGTGAGGTATGGGTCTTGTTGCAGTTTTTTGCAGATGGATATCCAGTTATGCCAGCACCATTTGTTAAAGAAACTGTCTTTTCCCCAATTAATGGACTTTAGGCCTTTGTCAAGTATCAGCTGCTCATAGGTGGATGAATTTACATCTGGATTCCCAATTCCGTTCCATTGGTCTATGTATCTGTTGTTGTACCAGTACCAGGCTGTTTTGACTACCGTGGCAGTATAATAGTTTCTAAAATCAGGTAGTGTGAGGCCTCCTACTTTGTTCTTCTTCTTCAGTAATGGTTTACTTATCTGGGGTCTCTTCCTTTTGCATACGAAGTTGGTGATTTGTTCCTCTATCTCATTAAAAAATGCCATTGGAACTTAGATTGGGATTGTATTGCATCTGCAGATCGCTTTGGGTGGAATTGACATTTTCATAATGTTGAGTCTTCCTATCCATGAGCAAGGTATGTTTTTCCACTTTTGCAGGTCTCTTTTGCTTTCTTGCAGTAGTGCCTTGTAGTTTTCATTGTATAGGTCTTTTATGTCTCTGATTAGATTTATTCCTAAGTATTTTATCTTCTTGGGGCTATTGTAAATGGTACGGATTTGGTGATTTCCTCTTGGAAGTTCTCTTTGTTGGTGTAGAGTAATCCAACTGATTTTTGTATGTTTATCTTATATTCTGATACTTTGCTGAAATCTTCTATTAGTTCCAGTAGTTTTCTTGTGGATTCTTTGGGGTTTTGCGTGTAAAAGATCATATCATCTGCAAATAGAGACATTTTTACTTCTTCCCTACCTATTTGGATGCCCTTTATTTCTTTTTCTTGCCTAATTGCTCTGGCTATGACCTCCAGCACAATGTTGAATAAGAGTGGTGATAAAGGGCATCCTTGTCTGGTTCCTGTTCTCAAGGGGAATGCTTTCAAAGTCTCTCCATTTAGGATGAGGCTGGCTGTTGGCTTTAGTATAAATGCCCTTAATTATGTTGAGAAATTTCCCTTCTATTCCTATTTCGCTGAGAGTTTTTATCATGAATGGGTGTTGGACTTTGTCAAGTGCCTTTTCTGCATCAGTTGATAAGATCCTGTGGTTCTTGTCTTCTGTTTTATTTATGTGATGGATTACATTGATTGTTTTTCTAATGTCGAACCATCTCTGCATACGTGGTATAAATCCCACCTGATCATGGTGAATTATCTTTTCTGATATGTTGCTGAATTCTGTTGAGTAGAATTTTGTTGAGGATTTTATGTTAATGTTCTTGAAGGATATTGGTCTGTAATTTTCTTTTTTTGTGGTGTCTTTACCTGGTGTTGGTATCAGGGTTATGCTGGCCTCATAGAATGAGTGTGGGAGTATTCCATCCTTTTCTGTGCTCTGAAAAACATTTAGTAGTAGTGGTGTTAACTCTTCTCTGAAAGTTTGGTAGAATTCTCCAGTGAAGCCATCTGGGCCAGGGCTTTTTGGGCATTCTGTTCAGTGTCACTTTCCATCCTGCAGGCTTGGATTCAGCCCCTGGCCCTTCAACTCTTCTGGATTTTCATTAGTGTTCTAACAAAGATCACCACTGCCAATGGTCACCTGGTATGGGGACAGGTGGCTATGTGCAGATGGCTATGTCCAACCGTCACATAAAAGGCTGGGTTTTCATATAGACTAGGTATATGCCACTGATAAGGTTTTAATCCCATTAAATGCTCTTCTTGGAGAAAAAAAAGAATAAAATTAAAGAACTTCTCAGGTTTTTGTCTGTGGCCGGGTTATAGTGCTTGGTGGTTTGGTCAAACACTAGTCTAGTTGCTGTTATGAAGTAGTTACATGTGATTAAATCAGTTGGCCTTAAGTTAAACAGACGACCCTCTGTGGTGGTTAAGGTTGTGTGTCAACTTGACTGGGTCATGATTCTTAGTGGTTTGGCAGTCATATGATGTTGTGATCACATCCATGATGAGATTTGATATAATGTGATCATCTCCATGATGGGATCTGCTGTGAGTAGCCAATCAGTTGAAAGGGAGTTTCCTTGGGCGTGTGGCCTGCATAAAATATAAGTTGATGTTCCGGCAAGGCTTGTGGCTTTTTGCTCCTTCTGCATCCTGGAGCTGGCTCCTATTCATCTGACCTCTGGTTCTTGGGACTTGAGCTAGCAGCTTACCTATGGTCTTGGCTGCCGATCTTGGGATTCATCGATCTCCTCAGCCTGTGAGCAAGAGCCCTGCTCTCTGACCTGCTGATCTTGGGTTCGCCAGCCTCTGTGGCTATGCGAATCAAGAGAAGCCTTTATTCTGACCCACGGACTTGGGACGTTCCAGGCTCTACAACCACATGAGCCATTTCTTTGATATAGATCTCTCTCTCTATATATATTTATACACTTTGCTGGTTTTCCTTCTCTAGAGAACCTAGCCTAATGTGAGTGGGTCTCAACTTACCAACTGAAGGCGGTAAGAGTAAAAAGGGAATTTCCCCTTTGCTGTGTTCTGCCTCTGGACTATAATTAGACAAGTTGCCAGAACTCTTCACTCTTCTTGCCACCTGACCTATGGAGTCTGGGAAATAAGACTGCAGAAATCTCCAACCTGACACCTGACCTACAGATTTCAGACTTGCTAGTCCCTACAATCCCGTAAGCCAATTCCTTAAAATAAATCTCTCTCTCTATATATACATATATACACACACACATATATTATACATGTGTATATGTTCACACACACACACACACACACACACACACACACACGTCTCTAACTGGTTCTGTTTCTCTGGAGAACCCTGACTAAGACAAAGTTCTGTAAGACAACCTGACGTCCTCCTTTGGTCTCGCTGACAATTCCCCTTTCATACTCCCAACTATTACAAAAGCCGATGGAGCAAAGGAAAACTTGTGTTAGAACACTCTAGCCTTATTCTTTCAGAGGGATGGGTCCTGGCTTCCACAAAATGAAGTTTCCTGCCAATGAAATGTTTGGGAGGGAGTGAGAAGAAGGAGAGTGGCTAAGAAAAGAAACTGGTTGCCTTCTAGGGCAATAAGGTCCCTAGGTGCTACAAATAGTTTGTGTTTGACTACTAACCTAAAGGTTGTCAGTTCAAACCCACCCAATGGCACCACAGAAGAAAGGCCTGGTGATTTGCTTTTATATAGATTATAGCCAAGAAAACCCTGTGGTGTAGTTCTACTCTATAACACATGGGGTCGCCATGAATCAGAATCGTCTTGATAGAAATGGATTTGTGGATTTTCTTGGGCAATAAAGACTAAAGAGCCAACCTTTAGAACGAGGTTGACAAACTATGGCCCTCAGGTCAAATCTAGCCTGCTCTTATTTTTGTAAATAAAGTTTTATTGGAACACAGCTATGCTCATTCATTTATATCGTCGATTGTGCTTCCCACGCTATGATGGCAGACTTGAGTAGCTGTGACAGAGACTACATGGCCTGCAAAGCTCAAAATGTTTACTATCTGGCTCTTTACAGATAAAATTTACCAACACTTGCTTTAAAACAAATAGACTTTCCTCTAACTTTGGCAACTAAGTGTGGGGGAAGGAGAATTCAATTAGTCTGTAATGAATACCACCAGATATTTAACTGGGGCCAGAGGGGAATCTCAGAGGCCTTAGGAGTTAGTGCTCTGCATTTCTTTTTTAGGAGGACGAACAACAAGTGACTCGATTTTTTTTTTCAGTTTCCTTTTAATATTACCCTACTATCGCATGTCGTATTTCTTTATGCCTACAGATTCTAGGCAACCTCACACCCTCTACTTAAGAGCAGTGAGATCTATGACCATCCCATCATGACATCTATCCACTGCCTCAGTTGGTTCCTAGGGTATGAGTCAGGAGCCATTGACCTTTTCTACCTCGAAAGATGGGCTGAGTATGGTGTGACCCTTACATTGGTGGGCAGAGGCCATCACTGTACCTGTTGGCCAGAAGTTGGGACCTGGTTCCCGAGGGCGAGGTCAGGTAGATGGCCAGATCTCCCCTCCTCGGGTGGGTGATGGTTATGCGCACCACTACGTGTTCCAGGTAGTTGACGTGGTGGTTGGGGTTATCTGAGCAGCCTGAAGCTTTGTAGATGGAGCGTACTGCACTGTTGGGGCGAATTGTCCTGTAACAGAGAGAGAGAAAGGGAGTTCGAGCAGATGTGGCAGAGCTCAACTAAGTAAACCTGGGCACCTGCTGTGATTATGCAATGTAATACAAGCATCCAGTCCCTAGATACTGGAAGACCACAGTGTCATCCCCCAGATAACCGGGTCACTTAAAGGGTTAACGCTGATTAAGCAGAGGGAAAGATGAAAGAAAGAGGAAAAGGGGAATTAAGTTTCTCTTCATACAGGCGCCCTGGTGGCATAGTTGTTAAGTGCTGGGCTGCTAACCGAAGGGTTGGCAGTTTGAACCCACCAACTGCTCTATGAGAGAAAGATGTGGCAGTCTGCTTCTGTAAAGATTATAGCCCTGGAAACCCTACGGGGGCAGTTCTACTCTGTCGTATAGGGTTGCTACGAGTCGGAATCAACTCGATGGTGACAGGTTTGGTATTTTTGGTGTGATAAATGGTGCTTGCGAGTGCTCATGCTGACTCGCTTTCTCTCAGGCCTGTTTGCAGCAAACATTACTTGATTTGTCGATCCGTGCTCTCCACACACACGTGCTGCTGGGGAACGGTGGTCCACTTCTCCGCCTCCATCACCATGGCCTCTGCATCCATCAGTCCAAATCCATAGAGATGGCTCACTGTGGAAGGCAAGAGGAGAGTCAGCCTCACTGGGGTTAGGAACAACCTCTGCTCAGGCACTGAGTTATAACATCATTTAGTGGTGACTTCAGACACAACCCTGTGGGATCCTAGCTATCCCTCCGGCAACGACTTGAAAGTCAAATAAGACAAAACATAAACAATAAGAAAATAAAATGAAAGTATATTATTAATTGATTATGTATTATTACTACCACCATGCCTACCACTTACAGGTTGTTACTACATGCTGGGCACTGATTGTGCATCTCTACATTTAATCCTCCCAACAATCTTGTGATGTCAGTATGATTATTATCATTGTTCACAGGTGAGAAAACTGAGGACTAGGGAGAAATGTGGCCAAGATTGACCAGCCACTAGTCAGTGGTTGTGCTGGATTCTAATCCACACAGTTTTACTCTAGGACCCACTGTTACCCACTTCCACTTTAGTGATGACATCATCAGTTTTGTAAGATAACATTAATAGATTTAAAAAGAAGTGACAACGTATACATGTCTTCTTACAGTACAACAAGACCTCTCAGTGTATGAAGAAGTTACATGCAAGAAATAGCAATTTTCTGACATATCTAGTAATTAGGCTGAATACCCTAGAAGACATAAATTATCTTTCCTCTGGCATGTAAAAAAATTATTAAACTTTATGCATGATATATTTGAAGGCTCTAGACTTTTACACCAGCTTCTTATCTTCGACTGTCATAATCTTTTACTTCTCAATGAGGGTAATCATTGATCTAAAGTTGAATTTGAGGTAACTGTCTCAGAAATTGCAAAATATATAAAAAACCAAACCCATTGCCCTTGAGTTGATTCTGACTCATAGCGACCCTATAGGACAGCGTAGAACTGCCCCATAGGGTTTCCAAGGAGTGCCTGGTGGATTCAAACTGCTGACCCTTTGGTTAGCAACTGTAGCTCTTAACCACTACTCCACCAGGGTTTCCGCAATTATATATAGAAGTATGTTAATGATGATGTAGCAAGACCTACGTGTGCAGTTCTTTCTAGAAATACTTTAAATTCCAGCTGAATACTTAAAATCTTCATTTTGTATTGAACCATCTCATACTTTATGTTCAACACAAACGCATACTTCTACCAGATTGATTGCCTAAAACATCCTTCATCAGGGTGTTAATTATCTTATTCAAAAAGTTTCCATAGCTGCTCATGCTTATGGTGTCTGCAAATACTTCAGCTTGAAATTCAAGACGTTCTATAATGTAGTCCCATTCTCCATTCAAAACAATGCCCTTACCAAACCTTTTGCTTTAGTAAGGCTGCTCTTTCCAGTTCCACTCAGATCTTGCTCTTCCTGCCTTACTGCCTTTGCTCATGCTGAGCGCATGGGCTAGAATTCCCTCCCTCCTCCTCTCCCTTCCAGGGAGAGCCCTGGTGGCGCAGCGGTTAAAATGCTCAGCTGCTAACCAAAAGCTCAGTGGTTCCAACCCACTATGTGCTCTGCAGGAGAAAAGACGTGGCAGCCTGCTTCCGTAAAGATTTATAGCCTTGGAAGCCGTATGGGGCAGTTCTACTCTGTCCTCAAGAGTCACTATTAGTCAGAATCGGCTTGGCCGAAGTGGATTTGGTTTTTGTTTTTTGTTTTGGTCCTTGCTGTAGATTAGACAAGGAGCCCTGGTAATGCAGTGTTTAAGCGCTAGGCTGCTAACCAAAAGGTTGGTGGTTCGAATCCACCAGCCACTTCATGGGAGAAAGATGTGGTGGAATGGCTCTGTAAAGATTACTGCCTTGGAAACCCAGTGGGGCAGCTCTACTCTGTCCTATAGGATCGCTGTGAGTCAGAATCGACCTGACGGCAGTGGGTTTGGTAGATCAGACCCTGACTTTTCTATGTTCCTCAAGGCCTAGGTACAGTCTATCTTCTCCTTCCTAGTCTCTGACTGCATAAAATAATCAATAGGCATTTACTGAAATTCAGCCTTCTGTGACCAGTGAACTTTTCTCCTTCCTAGACTTGTAACTATGCTGCCCTTCTGCCTGCCTGCCTGTCCATCCGCCCGACCATCCATCCATCCATCCAACTAACATTTCTTGGGTGCGCTCTATGTACCAGTCATTGTATTAGGCACAGCATTTTTTATCTGCACTATCACTTGAACTGCTAATTAACTCTCTCTGTCAGCATATATCTTTTTACTTCCGTTGTATTACCAACTGCTTGATGGCAGGGTCTAGGTCTCATATTTCTATATATATTCCATGGCATTTAGCAGAACTTCATGTACATGGGATGGAAAAGACTAGATTATAGCATTAAAAGAAAAAAAAAACGTAAAAATCTGCTAGGATTCAGAAGTACTGCTGTATTTCTGCTATTTGCCAACCACACAATTCTTAGTAAGAGGATAAGGTATCTAATCCACAATTTTTTTGTTTTGGAGTATTATTGTCTATCCTATCGCCATTTCTAAGTTGACTATATTTTATCATATACCCCATGTGCAAAATCTGTGAAAAGAACTCTACAAATGTGAGGGCTCATTAAATATCAGGTACTCAACCACTGCATACTAAATACAATTGAATAAAGCCATCTTGCTAAGGCAAGGATATGTGAAGGATTTTTATACATATCCTTTTTTGGCTATTATTATTAATTATTTTTTCTTGATTAAAAAATAATGCATGTTAATTTACATAAAATTATCATAAATCCAATAATTCCACTCCTAGGTATATATATATATATACTCAAAAGAATCAGAAGCACAAACAGACATATGTATACCAATGTTCCCTGCAGCACTACTCACAATAACCAAAGGATGGAAACAGGCTAATTGTCCATCAGCAGATGAATGGATAATGAAAATGTGGTATATACATACAATGGAATATTAATCTGCCACAAAGAGAAATGATGTCCTGATACATGTCAAAAGATGGATGAACCTTGAAAATATTATGTTGAGTGAAATAAGTCAGTAACAAAAGGACAAATATAGTATGATGTCACTTATATGATATATCTAGAATAGGTAAATATATAGAAACCAAAGTCTATTAGTGGTTACCAGGGATGGTGAGGGGGAGAGGGGAAAGGGAGACTTTGTTTGGGGGACTGAGCTTCTGTTAAGGGTGATGAAAAAATTTGGAAACGGCTAGTGGTGATGGTTGTACAACATGATGAATGTAATTAATGTCACTGAATTGTACAGGGACATTTTATGATATAAAACATGTTGAAATGGCAAATTTTTTGTTACATATAAACTCGCCGCAATAGAAGAATTAAAAAAAAAAATGCATGTTCATTAAATTTTTTAAGAATACATCTAGAAAAGACTAAAGATAATAAAACTAAAAAATAACCTTGTCACAAACTGGTAAATTCTCTTCCAATTTCTTGCGTTTATGTTAGTTACATCATATTATGTGAGGTAATTGAGCCTCCTTGAGTGACTTCCATGAAGCAGAAGAAATTTCAAGTTTTGGGTTTAAGGAAACCAGATCGGGATAGCTTACAGATCTTTTGTTAAAGTTCATGAAAATCGTATGTTCTGACTCATCATTTTACCATAGCCTGTGCTACTTCATTAAGAACATTTCAAGGTATTTCCTTTCCCTGGGGAAATAGACATTTTTACCAAAATGCTAAGCCAGGCTCTGTAACTCTGCTCAGCACTCAAATATCCCCATGCTGGTGTCAATTGGTTATAAACCAGCACACCTTATTTTATCTTAGTTTAGAGCAATAAGATGAAAGGTTGATTGGCCTGTGGAAGGTTGGGGAGGAGTAGGGCTTTGCACAGTCATTCAAAAATGAAAAACGGGAACTGCTCCCAGCTCTCTCCCCCACCCTCTCTCCATCCCCAGAAACTGTCAACCTCATACTCATTAGGACATAAATTAACACAAAGAGTCATCAAATACAACAAACACTCCATGCCTGCTAAAGAGCACTTGAGGAGGTAAGTAGAAAAACACTTTGAGTCTTTATAAAAGGCCATAAATTTGTTTCCTTTTTCAATTCAATTGCTTCTCTCCAGAAACAATGTCCATTCGTGAAGAACTTAAAATAGATGTTCAGAAAAGAGGCTGACTAGCTACAGTTAAACCACTCCCTGTCATGTCAACAGAAAAAATTTATATTAATATAATATTAATAAATGAGAACTGAATTAGATCAATGAAGGCTACTGAGTAGTAATGGAGATTTTCAGTGTTTTAGTATACTGGAAATTGTATATGGATCCACAATCAGGATTCACCAGCCAGGAAAAACATAAAACAAATTTCTTTATTTGATTGATTTATTTTTTTGCCGGCAATATATCAACTCCATGCATTCTGATTGGCAGTTATTTGTCTTTTAATAAATACTAATGAGAAAATAAACAATTACACAATGAATGTGCTGGAACGATAAATCCTTCAAAGCATGGTGTCAATAGGGGAAATAACCGTTCAATAGTTTGGAAACACTAATAAAGATTGTATTTTTTATATACCATTTTCACACCCTAAAATGATGAGAAACATTGATTTTTTGGTGACCGTTTGAGTCAAGTCTGTCTTGACCATTGCACTGCTAACATGATATGCACAGAGAGGATTATTTCCCTCCAGTGGCTGCAGTGCCTGGCTCAGAGGAGGCCTCCATAGATACTTGTGAATTAATGACCAGAACTGACAGAAGAAATCTTATTTAATTCGCCAAATGGCATAAAAAGTTTACTAGAGAAGGGTAAGGGGAATTAGGAGGTCTCTTCTTTTATAAAGTCATCATTAGCAACCCAAAATTATTTAAGATTAGAGCCAATATGGTGATATTTACATTTTTAAAATGTACAAACATAGCCAATAAACCATGGAAACAACTGGTTAAGATACAGCCATTCCTTCACTAAAGTCTATGTATCTATATGTATATTTCTCATGCCAGTCTCAGAGCAAAACCTGACCCTGAAAAGAATGTTATTAGTATCAGATGACACCCTCTCTGTGCA